TAACTGACCAAATACTGACTATTGGCCTGGAAATGAATCAATTACACTTCGATGAGATGAAGTGATACATGACTTTAATTAGCACGCTACAACCACTGATATGTATTCCAATTGAAAGTTACTAGCCATTCCAATTATGCTTGACATTTAGCAGAAATCAAAACCAAGCAAACACTGGTTTTAACAAAGCCAAAACAGATATGAACCCTTTTTGCTGTAGTACTCTAACAGGTCCATTCTAGACTTAAACTCATATAGGCTAATTGGCTAAAGATCATAATTCAACCATTATTACAAATCAAAACTGAAACAGAAAATGTCAAACGTAACAAAGAAACTAAGCTAATTGTAAAGTCTAATAATTTTCAGAAATATAGGAAACAACATTTGATAAACATAGATTGCAACTTAATCAAATAAACTCGTGTTCTTCCATTTCATATGCCAAAGGGCTGAGTAATACCTGATCACAACAGCAAAAACCAACAAGAAAAATGAGCTGGGAGTATACAGAAACAGCAGCAGTAGTAAGCTCAGAAATGACCAATGAAACCAGCTTTGAACCCAACTTTAAACCAGCAGAAATAACCACTGATACCCAGCAATAAAAAAAACGACTAAAACTTGAACCAAACTTGGAAAACCAACCAAACTCAAATCATTTTAGCATTGATGGTTTAGTGATTGTTTCAGAAATGAGAGCCTCAAGAATTATGGAAATCTTTAATGAAACAGTAATTTGCAGTGTTCTTCCAGTTGTTCTGATTTCTCTTGTATTTTCAGCCTTTTAGGCCTCTTCCTTTTTTTTTCAATGCAAAAAATGATGCCTTTATAGGCAAGAAAGTAGGGCAACCTAATTAATCAACAGATTTGCACTTCGACCCCTTTTGAATTTTTCTTTTTGCTTAAATACCCTTAGCTTAAAACTCAGATTTTCAGATTAGCCCCCCACCCCAGCTTCCTAGAAGCTTCCTTTTCAGTTACTAGAGATTCCCCCACCTAAATTTCCTATACTAACCCCCTAAAACCCTGTTATTATCCTCTACATACCAGGCAGGACCAGGGTCCAATTGACCCGAATTAGTGAGTCTGAGCAGACCCAAATCAATCTCCTCTTGGGCTAAACAATCTTTGTGACCCAATTAATATGCAGAAAAACTCAGAAAACCAGATGTTCAAATTTAGAAGCCTAATGACTTGGAGCCAAATTAAGCCCAAAACGAGCATGCAAAATTCAAACTACCCAGACTAAGAAACAATTGATAATCAAGCACACCCTAAATCTAGCATGTGGACACAGATGATAAAAATAAAATAAGAAAAGTAAAATAAAATAAAAAATGAAACCAAACAGAGAAATCAAAACAAAAAAATGAGAAGGAGTAGAAGAAGATGGGGAAAAGGAACACAAAATAACAGGGTAAAGAAAGAATACCTAGGAATTTCGGATGAACAAGAAATATGGAAGAATGCCTTAAATTCTTCAATTTCCGGATTTTTCGGCCAAATTGATATTAATCGTGTGTTCTTATAAAGAACACACGATAAAAATCAAATTAGGCTTGAAATTCCTTCATAACCCGATTTGGAGTTTCTAAGGTTCGTCTTTTGATATAAGATTCGAGGAGATTCAGGGGGATTTGAAACAAACGGAGTGGGGATTTGAGATTAGGGGAGTGAGGTGGTTATAGGGTGTGATTTTGGGTGGGATTGGGGTAGGCGCCGCCACCAGAGGCTGGGGATTTGGGGGCTGCTCAGCTAGGGTTTTCTTCCAAAACCAGATTCGAGCCGTTCTGGGTTGATTCGAGGGTGGGGATTTGTAGATTCGGAAAGAGGAGAAGGAGGGAGGTGTTTGGTGTAAGTTTGGTGGCGATTCACGGTGGCGCCGCCGGGGGAAGGCGGTGGAGTTTTGAGGCGGCTCAGCTAGGGTTAGGTCTGGGCCTTCTAATAGACGGGGGTGTTTGGGACGACGAAATGAGGGGGTAGGGCGTTAGTATATNATTGAAATTAAAACTTAAATTGAATCCTAAACCAAATTATCCTACCACATTAAATTAATTAACCGTAATAATTGTTACTACCAATAATTAAAAATTAAATTAAAGGAAAAAAACTACCAAAATTCGACATTAAAATTAAAAGTGCAAAATAAACTATTTTTGTGATTTTTCCATTTTTTATAAAATAATTGATTTGTCTATTAATGCTAAAATGTAAAACTAAATCCTAAATGCAAATGCAATATGTTTTTTGTATTTTCTCATCAATTAAAATGCACAAACAAAATGCAAACAATTAACAGAAAATGCCACAAAATCCGACAAAATTGCAAACACTGACATAAATTATTTTGTTTTGAATTTATTGGAGTAATACATATAAGGAAAAAATCACGTGCTCACAATGGTTATCATAATACAACTTTAGCGTCGATGCATCGAGTATTGTATCAGTCATTGGACGGATCAAAGATACTAGATCGCCCAAACCCCTACAACCCGACCCGACTCAAAGAAACTCTAATCAAATATGCAAATACCATGGAACCCATGGTCACAAAACCGAAGACTGCAGGCAATTAAGGGATGAGGTAGCTTGTTTATTCAAAGAAGGTCATCTTCGAGAGTTCTTGAGTGACCGAGCTAAAAATCCTTTCAGAGACAGGGATGCAAACAAGAAAAACAAACAGGAGGAACCGCAACACGTGATTCATATGATCGTTGGTGGGGTCGATATTCCTTAGGGCCCAATATTTGAACGCACCAAAGTTACAATCACAAGGGAAAAACGTACTTGGGACTACTTACCAGAAAATACCTTAGATAAGGCAACAATTACAATCTTTTTAAGTACCGTTTCAAGCTAAAGCCTTCACATTTTCACCCGCCGTTTTAACCAAACATATAATTTTCAATTCCAAATGCCTCAAGTTTCAACTACAATGGCACTCAAGACAGAAAAAATTAACAAAGGAGAAGAAGTTTAATGGAGAAGATGATCTAAAGGTAGAAAGCTTTTCTTTTCCCACTTTTTCATCTTAACGTAGAAAGTTTACTATGGCAACTTGGCTAAATAATGTTTTGCCATTGAAGTATTCATCATTTCTATTATGCATAACAAAACTTATCAATTCTAATTTATTCGAGAACATATTGTTACTTTTAAATTCAAATCCCTATATTTAATATGTATCTTCTATAGCTAAATAAATTGTTTCATGGCTTGACCAGTCACTATAAGACGTTTTGATACTAATTACATAAGTGTGACGATACTGTCATTTTATACCATGTATGGGTTTGAGTCATGAAGATAGAGTTTGGGTGCCAATTAAAGTGGTTGGTCTATTAAGTACTATTATAAGGTTTTATACCAGACATTTTATAAATCATCAAACTTGGTTCTCTACTAATTGTTCAGTTTACTGCTTTGATAGGGGTTTAGAACAAGTACTTCAAAATAAGGAAACGAGTACTTTCAAGATCTTTAGAAACATGAAAAAAATTGTCTGGATGGGTAACTAAGACGGGGAATCCATAGAACTTGCTTTTAATCAGAAGAAGATAGAAGCAAAGAAGAATTGGCGTAGACAACTTGAGTTTGGGACCATTAATACTTTTATTATAGTTTGATTAGCATACATCCAAAATTTCCTAATTTGACTGATCATTGTCTATTTTTTATGCTTTGCAGCTTGATACCGATCGCTTTTTATACACTCAATCTGTAAGCCAAGAATTTATTCTTTTTCAATGGATGACATTCAAAGGTCAATTTCATCAATGCTTGATGGTTTGAAACCAGATCAAAAGAAGATTATGTTTTGTGCCTTTAAAGAGGAACTTTGTTAATTTATATCAACATATTGTACAGTAGAAATGGCCTTTTTCAAATAGTATTAATACATTTGTTTAAGAATCAGAATATGGTCAATCATCCAAGATTGTATTTTCTTATAAATGCTTTCCTCATTAACTATTTTTTAATGGATACATATGTTCCCTTATGACTTGAATGCTTGAAAATTCAGTTGATTTACATGTGCATAAAATAATAGCATTTGCATGCTCCTTTGTATCTACCATATTTTCTTATAAAAAATTATATTTAATATTCACCGCGCAATGCGCGGGTACAAATAGGCGAATAAGAATTAATTAAAGCATGTCAGTTACACCATTGTGACATAGCACATTAAATGTTTTATTTTAATCTAAAAGGTAATAAAGCTTGCAATAACATACAATACATTACTCCTACTAATCTCACTAACAAGACCTGACATGAGAGTACATGTCGTGATGAGTAAGAAGAGCGCTCGAAATTAATATGAAGATGTTACTGATTAAATTTTTTTTCTAGGAGTTCATACCCCAACAAACAAGAGATAATAATTATTAAGCATCTTAAAGATCTCTATCCCTGGTACACTCTGGAGGAAGGGTAGGGTACCTTTTCCTATCTGTACAATAGTTATAGATGGTGTATTTTTGGCGAACCCATTGAAGTCTTCTATGTTGAGGGCCATCTAATTCTTGGAAAGCCTTTTGTAGGGTGTGCATTCGTATCGGTTTATCGATAAATCGAATCGATTATTTGTTATCGGTTAATCGATTTATCGATTTCGATTTCGAAATTTTCCTTATCGAGTTATTGATTTCGATTTTGTCCTCTTCGGTTATCGGTTTATCGATAAACTGATAAGATATACTTAAAAAAAAAATTTACCATTATTCTATAATACCCTTTCCTTTACCCTAAGTCCCTAACCCTATTATTTCATCTACCACATTTAAGGAATGATCATATTTAAAGCTCAAGGGAATGAAGTTCAAATTAATGGAAAATAGAATTAGCCGTGACGATGTATTTTTTTTATACCGTTGGAGTGTTGATGACATACATTTGATCCTCTTAGTTTAGTTTCGTTGCATGTGCTTGTTGACACAATTTTTATGTTATAAACGGTGTTCGTCTTATTTTAGCTTCTTTTTGTCCATATTAGTTAAACGCGTTTATAGCGATATACTTTCCGTGAAATCCCACAAATTTTCTTATTGGTGTAATCGATAACCGAATCGATAAGCCCCAAAAATCGTAAATCGAAATTGAAAAAATTAAAACCATATTGAAACGATAACGATAAGCATATGTACATATCGATAATCGATAAGTAATTATCGATAAGGGTCAAAATCGAATCGATAAATCGAATGTACACCCCTAGTCTTTTGATCCCACCATTTCATGCCATTTGTATTACAAACTTGCACTTCTTGTGGGGTAACTGCCTCACAGCCATCTATGTGGAATGAAGTGTAGGAAGCAGTGAATGGTGCTTTTGACCAATCCGTTTTCTCTAATCCTCCTCTTGTAGCCCAGTCGTCAGCATTCCACAGGCTTGAATAGATCTTCATCGGCTGATTGAATGGGAATTCCACACCTGTCTTTCGAATTCTTGAATACTCGTCGTCCACAAAAATCCTGCAATCCACAACCTAGATTAGCGGTTGAAATTTAAAAATAGCCAGATTTACAAGTGATCATTCAAAAATAATCGAAATTTAGCTATTTTTCATGTAAAGATAAATTTGAATAAAAACACTGTTTAAAATCCGGAAAATACTCCATCATAATATACTGGAATTCCAGTATAATTTACTGGACTTCTAGCATAATATAATGGAGTTCCAGTATAATATACCGGTCCAGCATAATATGCTGGAAGTTCATACACAAGTGCATTGATCTCCCGTATATTACGCTGGAACTTTTCGTGTTGCAGCAAAATAGTGACTATTTTTCAATGACTTTGCAAACGCTGATTATTTTTGAATGACCAATCCGAAAATTGGCTAGCCCGTCCTATTTTAACTAGATTAGCTGGTGATACAAGGCTCAATTGCAAAAATAATTTTTTTTGGTTAAACCTTCTTTAAGATTAAAATAGTTACTCCCTTCTGTCCAAATAAGTGATTTTTTGGGCCTTTTTTTTGTGGTCCAAAATAAGTGATTTTTTCAGATTTCAAAAATGAATTAACTATTTTTTTCCTGCATTGCCTCTAGAGTAAATAGTGTTGGAGTGTGTGTTAGGAGTGGTTATATGAAGAGATAGTAAAGGTTAATATGGTTAATTTCATTACTAATTAATATTAAAAAATAAATTTTTTTAATCTGTGTGAAAACAACTAAAAATTCACTTATTTTGGACCGGAGGGATTACATCATATTTCAAGTTCATTTTAGGCACGAGATACTAAAAAGCAAAAAAGAAACACTCTATCCATATATCTGAAGTATGAGAATCTGACCATTGATTTCTTAATTACTGCTATTTAAAAACTATTCTAAAATTATATCCTACAGTTAGAAAGGGAAACAATTCGAATCCTGTTTTTTTTTTTCTTTTCTTGGAGGTCCGAATGAAGTAATCAGTTCCTCTTTTATTTGCTCAAAATACTTAGATATAACTAAACTACAAGAAAAGGAGGATACAGCGATACTTAATTAGTCATCTTTCTATTTTAAAAAGAATCTGACCATTGTCTCTGTTTTGAATATTTAGAAATGTAATCCCAGGAAGGTAAAGGAAGTTACACAATCTGAAAGGTGTTCCAGAGAACGGAATATGAATGGAAGTCGTTGGTTGGATCAAACCAGAGATAGATCCTCTGCTCCCTGTCTCCTTTACCTCCTGTAAATACATTGGTCTGTAATATGTATGGCTCACCTGTCCTGTTCCCTAGGAATTCAAAATCTATCTCATCGTGTTCTGCGTTGTTTGATGACAGCTGAATATATATATATATATATATAACCAACATATATCACTTTCTTCTTTTTTATTTAATTAATGACTAGACTCAATGTGATTTTTAAAATCTCACGTATATAATATAATACTTGCATAAAATGCAGAGACAACACCAGCAGAATCACCTCCAACAAGCTTCATTTTCATACTAAAGTGCCCAAATAGATATGATTTCTTTGATTGAAATCCAGCTCCTTCAATCATACAAACCCCCGGAACGAAGTCAGTAAACTAGGCAGGCATATATAAGTAATATCTATATATATATATATATATATATATATATATATATATATATATATATATGGCATTTAATTAATTAATTACCTGAAGATTTGTCAAGAAGAAGCTCAGCTGTGGTGCCACCCACACCATTGAGGTACTTGATATGGTGACTGGACCAACTGGGTTCATAGTTGTTCCAAAAAGGCACATCCAGTGCCTTCCTCGGCGCCCCACAACTGCCCAGTATTGACAAATTTATCAAAACAAACCAACTAAAAATCCCTTCATACCCATTATCCTAGCTCTCTGTGATGTATGTCTATTTTGTACTGTTAATGGATGAGGGAAGTTAAAGGGATACTATACTAGTTCATTATTTATAGGGGATTTCGAGTGTTGAAAAAGAACACTGGTCATGTGTGTCAACAGAACGTTGAAGCAAGTGAGATATTGTCAGATTTTTCGGTGCTATGTTTAGACTTCCAACTGTATAGTATAACTGTCCAAGCGCAAGGCTTTTGTCTGGTGCACATTGGGCGAGTAATGCACATGTTTTCAACCAAACGAAATTAAGAGTAATTTAGCCTCACTTAAATCTCTAGCGAGTGGAACACAAGCTCTCATCAACCGACAGACATATTATTGACGCACCTAGCTAGGAATAGAACTAAACCATGTGTGTGGATCGCTTTTCTGCCTAAATTTTGACCGCTGCTACGGCTCCCTATGTGCTGTGTTACACAAGGACCAGTAGGGTGCCCGCCGCGCAAAATCATTTTCTCTGTTAACTTCTTGCCGCGTTCTTGGTTTGTTTTATTCATTATTAGGCTATTTCGATAGCATTACTATTGGAATTGATACATTAATATCTTCCGTTCACCTGTTATGCTAAAATATAAAACATAAAGTAACAATATAAATTTAAGATTTTGACTAATATAAAATATATTTATTTTAAAGCAATAATATCGGGTACCTAGTATTACATATTATTGACATGATGATTTAAATATATTAAAATATATCATTCAATATAAATTAAGAATATACTATTATAAATCACTATATCAAAGAAGAGATCTATTTATAATAGAGAGAATATTCTAAATAGGAATAGGAGAAAGAGAATAAAAAACAACAAAAATAAAAAAGAGAAAAAGGTATGGTAGAGAAAAATTAAATTAATAAGGGATAAATTAAAAAATATAAATTTATTGAAAGAATATTTTTGTCTTGAATAAATTAATTTTCTGCTTTTGCTTCTTGGAAGAAGCAAGAATTTCTAGCTTTTCCCCAAAAGCAGAAAAACTGTTTCTGCTGCTGCTCAAAAGCACTTTTTTTTATCCTCGCCAAACATGTAAAAATTTTCAATAGATATTTTTTTGAGCAAAAAAAGTACTTTTAACCTTCAAGAAGCTTGGCCAAACAGGCTCTAAAATTACTTCTAAGATATTTTTCCGGCTTAACTTTACCCTTATGATTAACGGTCAACACCAGATAAAAATAATATTATTTGATTTTCTTGTGGCATTTTATTACTGATCGTTGATCTTTACATAAATAGCCGATCATATTAATTATTTATTTTTCTAGCCATATACATAAATTATACATGATTATACACATGTAATACATAAATTATGCAGGCTATTTATAGTTTAAGTGGTAGAGTAGACGGCTATTTGGATTACTTCTTCTTAAATAAATTAGTGAACACACCCCAATACTTGATTTTCTGACTTACCCGACCCAAACACTAACACAATATTTGTGCTTCTTCTTTCGCTTCTAATTAGAGTTCTTCCCAACAATTTATTTAACAAACACCAAATAAAAAATAGCACGTAGTAGCAAAAAAAGCTAAGCACTATTAATTTCCCCCAGCAACATACCATGGGCTTACCCGCAAACTGAGCAAAAGGGTAGCTCGGTGCACTAAGCTCCCGCTATGCGCGGGGTTCAGGGAAGGGCCGGACCACAAGGGCCTAGCGTGCGCAGTCTTACCCTGCATTTCTGCAAGAAGCTGTTTTCATGGCTCGAATCTGTGACCTTCTGGTCACATGGCAGCAACTTTACCAGTTACGCCAAGGCTCCCCTTCTACCAGCAAAACTAAGTGAATGAGCAAATAAATAAATACATAAATAAATAAATCCTATTTCTCATTGACGTCTCATTCTATGAGCTCACTTTCAAAAGAAATATTAATATTTTCCGTCAAAACTATATCAAAGAATAATTGCAATTTTGAGGCTCAAATTTGGGCTGCTAATTAGGCAAAGTGAAAGAGACCACGCCATGACTGCAAAGGTACCGATTGTCAAATCACATATCAACTATGCCCGAAAAGTTTTTACCTCAGATAAGAAAATTTTATCACTTCCTTAAGAAATGATCGCATAAGTTTAAAGAATTTTAGGATGTTTTAAGTTAGGCTCTGTTTGACCAAAAAGTACGAAACTCTTTGTTAAACTAATTAAATAAAAGATAAAGGGCTAATCCTAGTTAAAGATAATAATCTTGGACCTAAAACGGGCTTATGCGGATAACGCGGGGACCATGTTATATTGATTTAATGCAATACACATTAAATGTTGCGGTTATTAATAGAGTGAGAACAATGATAAACAATAAATACAATAAATGACACTAAATATAAATAATGAGGAAGATTCACTCAAAATTGAATGAAGTAGAAGATTCCTTCCTCTAACAATAATAAATGACAAGAATGTAAGAGAATATGAGACACATTCTTGAATTTGGTGGAAATGACAATAGATAATCTAAAGAGATTGAATCTCTCTAAGAAAGTAGTTCTTTGTATTTATCTAGAGTGCTTACTTTTCAAAAGTATTTTTATCATGTGGAATATTACATACCTTTTACTTTATCTCTCATACTATTTATATGGGATATTTCAAAGAACCCTAAAAGATACAACAAAAGAAATATTCAATAGAATATTCCCTTTGAAGGTTCCAAAGCTATACTAGTCATTACTTCTGTCCTTGTTGCTCGACCTCGACCCTGATGAACCACTCAACGGCTTATTTTGTTGACCGCTGATCGACCTCAGCCAAACTGCCCATGGTAAGGCACAAATTTCACGATAATCACCTCTTTGTGTCTGAATTTTTTCGGTCGAATTTTGACCCATACGGCTCATGAATAAGAATGAGGTCCAAGTACTACTACTAATGATAATGATTTGCTGTCAACTGGAAGCTCTCAGATTTGTATCAATAGCATTGAGTTCTCTGGCATTTGTTATGGCTGCAAATGACTGAAATTCAAGTTGCCCCACAAAGGTACATGCAACAAAACTCGAATGCTCGTTTTCAATTAGCTCAGCAAATACAAAAAGTCGGGTTAAGAAGAGAGATGTTGGGTCTTTTAATTACAATCAGGTACGGGTCTTTTATAAGAGATGGATCTTTCCATATGGGTGGGTCTAACTTAATGGGGTCAGAATTTAAAATGGACCAGTAATAAAATGCTACGTGATAATTAAGTACGTAATATTTTATTTGGTGTTGACCGTTAGTCATAATGGTAAAGTTGAACCGAAAATATAATGTTGGGGCAATTTTAGTTTAATAGATGGATGGAAAGTATTATTATACCAATTCCAATAGTTTAGGGGTAATTTTGATCATTTTTACGTTTATTTTATGTAACAGTATATTACTGGGTATGACTAATTTTATGTTATTGCGAGACGGGGGTAAATTGGATTTCTATAGACTAGCTATTTCTAGCTTCTATAGTGGTCTTGGCATTTTAAAATTATATTATATTGATACTGAATAAACATATCAAACAGAGGTAGGTAGTATAAGTACTTTAAAAAAGTTAGTTAACTCTAAAAGTTAGGCTGTTACTCCTATGAAATGGACAGTATTCCATTCTCAACGCAAACACTTCTTAGAGATTAGACGACAAAAAGAAAAGTGAATGTTATTATCTAAGACAGTGCTGATCAGTGATAGCTTGTAGTGACAACTTACTCATTGATGTCATCTCAGCAATTCGCAATTGTTATTCATCCTAATTGATCACGTTGCATGAATTGTAACCTCGCATATGATTCCATTATACAAACATATAATTTCATTCCGTTGATAACTAGATTATTTTTCAGATAGCATTACATATAAACAACGTTGTTAAGAGTGAAGTTTAAAAGAAATAAAGATCTTTGGAACATAACAAAAGTATTATTACTAACTTGTAGTTAGGGGTATACATAGGCAGGGTTGGTTCGGATTTTACAATAATCAAATCAAATCAATTGTGTCGGGTTATTAAATCTAAAGACCAAACCAAACCAATAAAACTCGGGTTTTTCAATCTCGATTTTTCTCGGATTTTCGGGTTATTCAGGCTTTCTCGGGTTTTTTTCCCGGTAAAATCTTCGTAGAACAAAACATATAATGTATGCTCAAAATATTTCTTTAATCCTAGTAAGATACAACTATATAAAGTATTTTCTAAGAAAATAATACGAAATATGAGATGTGTCATGGCATTATCCTAAAATATTTAACAATAAAGACAATAAAATTATGTAATATAAATATTGCTAATTAAAAGGCCATAATAAAAATAAATATAATCTAAAAGTACTAAGTCATGCTAAAATAAATAGACTAATAAGGGAGTATTAATTACATGACTAAACGCTAAAGAAAAATAAAAATAGGTTATGCATTTTTTCTAAACTATTGCGAAACAAAAAATAGATATTCAATATATTCCCGTTCGTAATATTGAATTGAATGTCTTTTGTTAGCATTAGTATTGATTTGATTTTGGTTTGGACTTTTGTTAGCATTATTTAATTAACTAATATTAATGACTATAAAACTTATTAAAACATTCAAAAGTTCTAAGTCCAACCATGAAATAATATCTTAAAAGATAAAATTATGAAATTTTTATAAATTACATCACAATAAGTATAATATATTTAAAATTTCTATATATGTAATGTCGGGTTGGTTTGGTTTCGGTTTGACTTTCTTTAGTTAAAACCAAACCAAACCAATTATGGTTGGGGTTTTTTTCCTAACACCGAACTAAATCAAACCAAACTATAGTCGGGTTTTTTTTTTCCGATTTAACTCGGATTATCGGGTTGGTACGGTTGTCGGTTTCCTTTGTACACCCCTATTTGTAGTAATAATTTTAAATATTTCATGACATTTATATGGATGAAATGTGAGAATAAAATCAAAGAGCTTGTCGATACAGAAATTAAAGATTCATTCTTTTAAAAAAAAAATCATAAAATAGAAAAGATGAAACAGTAATCTAAGAAATATTTATAAGAGAATATATAGTAATTGAAAACGTAAATGGGAAAGAAAGATTTAAAACAGAATATAGAACATCAAAGCTTTGGAAGTTGTTGTCTTCTTACATCGTAATAATACAAATAGGCAATTCCCCTAGCCCATGTTACGTTAGGGAAGATGAGATAATTTGATTGATGATATGTTGGCTAGCATCTGTCCTTTTTTAGATATGTGTCGTCCGTCTATTCACGCCCGTGAAACTAGGGCGAGACATGCTGAAATTTGACCTACTTAATCCGCCGAGCCAATTTTATTTTAACTAACTGAAGATCTAAACTGATCATAATTATCTCGAAATTTATTACAAAATCATTATTAGTTTGTAGTTGGAATACTGAGTCTTAATTCATCATTAGTTTGTAGTCTAAAAGCCACAAGCAAAGTTAAGTGCCTCCATTGAAAATTTGAATGCATAAGTCTATGGGGCATTTCCCTCATATAAATAATAATATATTTAAAAGAAGGGGGAGTAAGAAAAAGACTGTTACTGTCGGAATAAATCAACGGAGCTTGCATTCTGAGTCTAATAAATCCGTCTCTAGCCGCGTACGTCCTCACCTGCGCACTCAATATCTGTGTCAAAATTGCTTTCGTATTTGGTCGCTCTCATTTAACCTATACCCATTTTTTTTAAAGTTTTAACTTGTACCCACTTTTTAAATAATTTCAGTCCTCTTTCTCCTTCTCCTCCTCCTTCTCCTCCTCCTCCTTCTTCTTCCTACTGTTACTGTTGGTGCTGCTATGAAACTTCAGTTCATGGGATGATTGTCATAAGTATGTTTATCAGATTATTTAAAAACAAATTATAAATAATTACGTAAGTTAATAGACAATAATTTGTAAATATTTTCATGTACGGGAAGTTTAAGGTCACACTTAGTGATTCTTTTCATGATAATTCTGTTCTTTTCTCGTTTATTGTTTCCAAAATTTATGATTTAGATACTGTTGGCAATATGATTATTTATCTAGTATGTTAGAAAGCTTTTTCAAAAACTTCAGCTTATTTAGTGCTGAAGTTTTATAAATGAACTAAATAACTTCAGCATCTTCTATTGAAATTTTTGAAAAAGCTTAATGACAAAACTAATGAATCTAGGACAAAAAAACTTCAGCTTATTTAGTGCAATTACAAACAAAAACTTCAGCAAATAGAGAACAAAACATCAGCTATTATGCTTAAGTTCAGCAATTACAAACAAAAACTTCAGCATATAGAGAACAAAACTTCAGCTACTATGCTTAAGTTCAGTAATTACAAACAAAAACTTCACCACACTTGGTTTAGCACACTTGTTACTTCAGGCCCGTCTACTAGAATGCTGAAGTTTTGCGTGATTGTTTTTGCTACTTCAGCCCCGTATGCTGAAGTTATGCGAAAAAGTGGGTACGCTTGTATTTTTTTTTGCAAAGTGGGCACAAGTTAAAACGTGACCCAAAAAACGGGTATAGATGCAAATGCCAAATATCTATCATATAGTATAACAGGCCCAAACAAACTAAGTACCTCAAAAAAGAGATTTTTACATTGTAGGGCTCTTATAAAATAGTATTTATATTAATGTTATCATATTTGAATTATTTCAATAATAGCACATTTTATTACAAATACAACATATATAAATAAAGTACTAGTATTTAATAACATATTTATTTTCTAACTCTTCCTAAAAACAAGGGATTATATTTAAAAATAACGGCTGAGAAGATTTCTCTTCTCTCCTTGGGAGAAGTTTCATGTCTTCCCTTATTTCAGTAGAAGTTCTTCCCATCACTTATCAATTTAACTTTACTTTTTTGAAAATTATGCTCAAATACTATTGTTACTTTCTCACAATCTTCGGCAAGTTGCACTCTTCTAAGAAATTACCAACGCAAGATTTAAACCAAATATTTCTTTCTCCTCGTACTTTTTATTCTTTAATGATGTATAATTTGGTGTATTATACATAGTATCACCTGCCACACGACCAAGTGTTCGAGAATAAATTTCTTTCTAATATGTTGTCATTGCTAATCGGTATGGCAGATTTTTCCAAATATTTGATACAACATGTCTGTTTTAAAATATGACATATTAAATAGAAATATTTATAAAGACTTATACCTATAATATACCAAAAATATTGCATAACAACATTTGAATTAAAAACATACCTTATTTATACTATGTTTATAATGAAATTATACCTCCAAAGTATATTTATACAAAGGGGATTTCTGTTAGTTCTTTTCAATATTTTATTTTTATGTTGGACAGTTTTATTTTTTTCAGCAAAATATACATTTAATATATTTATAATATATTATATTGTAAAAGTTTTCTATAATTTTAATATTCGTTCAATAAAATTGTTTACCCTAAAAATTAGATAACAATTAAACTTATATGTGGTTTTAAGGATATGGGATTTTACCTAATACCAATTAATAAACGTAAAGATAAGTGATGCAAATTGACAATAATATAAAGCAAACCAGCATTTGGACAGAGCCCTCGAGCTTGGACACCCTCAAACTAGTTATGCAAGAACAGTTAAAATACAACGAGCTAATAAACAAGAGAATATAAATTAAAGAGAGAATATTATATTGCTTTGATCTATGTGAATGTAAGGTGTCTACAAATAATGTGGACTCCTCTTTATATAGTAGAGGAGTCCTAATTATGGTATACTCTAATTACATAGGTAAATCCCATGATTAGCCTAAACAACCGCTCTTGATCTGATCTGTTCCGAGATTTTCGATGTGATCTTCGACCGATTACGGATATCTCGTCTTTTCATTATTGCGTTTCGTTCGAAGTCCGTCATATATGGTCTTGATTGATGTTGGCCTCGATCTCGACGAGCACCTCGATTCTTGAGCTTGATACTTCATCTTCGTGCTCTGACCTGATCCATTACGAGACTGATCCTCGACGTGATTCCCTGGTATCGATTAAATGGCAAAATCAAGCAAGCCCTATTTTAACCGTATACAGATAGTCCTCTCGTTTCTTGGAGTGTAATGAGAAGAAACGAACTGGGCCTTTGATTTTATACCTCGGCCAGTTATGATGTCACCCTTGTGACGTAAGTGACCGAAGCATTAAGTTGGTACAGTTCCCAAGATCATTAATGAGTGCCAGTTGATGGTCGCCAATTAGTGCCTTTGAATCGTCGCCGTGAATCCTTAAATAGGTCTTCTTCTCACTTCTTTAAACTTTACTTTGAATTTTTCTTGCACTAATCTTCAAAATCCTTCTGAGTTTTTCAAGTTTTTCTGCAAATCTTCAAATTTTTCGTATCTTATCAAGCCACTCCGTTCTTGCACAGTTTCTAGGCCTCGTTACCAACCTTTCTTCAGACTACAAATCTCATCTTCTTCTTTCTCTAAATCCATATAAAAATGGCAAAAACATCTAAAACCGTTCCTCAAAAGGAAAAAGCTTCTTCATCGTGACCGGCCAGCGATAAAACACCAGTGGAGCTGCGCCCTAAGGAATGTGTTCCCGAGATGGGGTGTGATCTCTCTTCCGACTTTAACATCGAGAAAAATTCTTCTGTCCCTGGCCAGTGTGAGCCAATGTCTAGGTACATGTGCTCGATAACTGAGAGCGACCTCGAGCAGGTTAAGGAAGACTACCATTGGAAGAAAAAAGAGGTGGTGATTCTGTCTCCCGAGGAAGATATTACTACCCACATGGAAGGGTTTCTTAAATGTTTACACTTATCCTTTCACGTTGGGCCCCATCGATCCCATTATCATTATCATCGACTTCTGTCGCCAATACCAAATAACCCTAGGCCAGATCCACCCTTCCTTTTGGCGGATTGTCATTTTGCTTTGATTTTTTTGCGAGCAAAAAATAAGGAACGCCTTTCACCCTCGACCACCTCATCAGGTTGTATAGGCCCCGTCTTTTTGAGGTGGGTTGATAAAGCTTTAGCGTCGGGCCACCAAAGTGTTGTTCTCGAGCATAAACGAGGACAAGGATCGAGTATGGATGGGTCGGTTCGTTCGAGTGAAAACTTCTGACCTAATTCCGGCCGAAAAGATGCCATTTCCCGAGAAATGGAATATGGAGCGTAAGTTTGATTCCTTCTTCAGTTTTTATTTACTGTTTTGTTCCCTTCACTTCTTTTTTGCCGACACCCTTTTCTGTGATGTAGCGGTCGCTTGAATGCCTGGTGTGATTCCGGACCTCGAGATGAACCGGACTAAGGCGGCTAACTGCCATGTTAATCTTTGTACAGCGTTAATGTTGTCTACGACTTTGATGTCTTCGATTGCCTTGATTTTATCGAGGTTGATCTCGATTCCCCGATTTGACACCATAAATACGAGGTACTTGCCCGAACCGACCCCGAATGCATATTTCTTCGGGTTGAGTTTTGTTGTATTTTCTTAATATGTTGAAAGTTTCCTTAAATGTGCCAAATGGTCCTCTGCGCGCAGGGACTTAACTAACATAATATCAATATAAACCTCCATTAATTTACCTATTTGTCTTCGAACATTCGGTTTACTAGGCGTTGAAAAGTAGCACCAACATTTTTTTAGTCCAAACAACATTACATTATAGCAATAAGATTGTACCCGGAATTTGATTGTACCCAAAATAGGCATCGAGGAAGCTAAAGATCTCGTAGTCGATCGTGGAATCGATCATGCGATCGATGTTCGGTAGAGGAATAAAGTCTTTAGGACATGCTTTGTTTAAATCTTTATAATCTACGCACTTTCTAAGTTTGTTCCCCTTCTTGGGGACTACGACTACATTTGCTATCCATTCGGGATATTTTACCTCCCGAATGGACCCTATTTTCAGAAGTTTGGTTACATCATCCTCGATGACTGCATGCTTAACCTCGGATTGTGACTTTCTCTTTTGCTTTACCGGTCTGAACTTTGCGTCCAAGCTCAATCGATGAGTGGTAATTTTTGGCGGGATCCCTGTCACGTCAAGGTGGGACTAAGCAAAACAATCCACATTTTTAATAAGGAATTTAATAAGTTTTTCCCTGAGCTTGGGGGTAAACCCCATGCCCAGGTATACCTTTCGATCAGGTAGATGCTCAATCAGTATGACTTGTTCCAACTCTTCAACAGTTGACTTCGTGGCATCAGAATCATCGGGGATTACAAAGGTTTGAGGTATCATATAATCATCATCCTCGATAATTTCCTGCTGTTGGTCGACGTCGACGACTGTGGTTGCTATTTGACTTCCTGCTTTTCCTTTGATTCTGGTCCCTTTGTTGATGTTAGCGTTGATATTGGTATTACCTCATTAATTGCAAACATTTCTTTGGCTATTGGTTATTTGCCATACACCATTTTGATTCCTTCCGGTGTCGAGAATTTCAAGACTTGATGAAGCATTGAAGGTATTGCCCTAATATTGTGAATCTAAGGTCTTCCGAGCAGCGCGTTGTATCTCATATCACCTTCGATTATATTGAACTTTGTTTCCTGGATAGTTCTAAACATGTATACTAGCAAAATAATTTCCCCTTTGGTGGTTTTACTTGCCATGTTGAAGCCGTTGAGTACTCGAGCTGCGAGTACAATCTGATCCTGAAGGCCAGGCTGCTCTACGACCCTTGATCAAATAATATTCGTTGAGCTACCTAGACCAAACAACACACGTTTAACTTGAATTTTGTTCATAAGGATAGATATTACCAGTGCGTCGTTGTGAGGTTGTTCGATCCCTTCTGCATTCTCATCGTTGAAAGTCTCCTTATTATTAGGAATTGTAACTGTAATTAAATGTGAACTTTTAAAATTTGATAATAATTGTTTGATTATTCTTAACGAAAAAAATCTTAAATTCCAATTCTAGTGAATACATGAAATAACTGCCGAACATGGGAGGCAGTTCGTATCCTTTTTTTGTGAATTCGTTGGATGATTTTTTTTTTTGGGCCTATTTTCTAGTTCTATTTTCAAATTTTAAATTTCAAATTAACTCCAACTTTATTGGAAATGTGTCTTAAAAAATGACACTTGTTGAATTGTAGTTATGCCACTTGGCATCATTACATTCTTTTGCTTCTCATTTTATATAAAGATAGATTTCTTATCTTATACTCCATCCGTTCACTTTTACTTGACATGTTTTGACTTTTCACGCTCTTTAAAAAATAATAAATGAAGTGCATAATTTGTCATGATACTCATATTAATTGATGCATATTTTATTGGATTTGAGAAAATGATTTGAAATGAGTAATAAATATTGTGGGTATAACATAATTTTTTTTTCTTTTCTTGATATGCGTAAAGTGCCAAATAAAAATAAAAATTTATTTTTAATATACATGCCAAGTAAAAGTGAATGGAGGGAGTATATAAGAGCATTCACAGTTCTTTGGCGGAAACTATTGAATGAATTTTAAACCACTCAAAACTTAGAAGCTACAAAAATTTAATAAGTTAAAAAGGTAGTAAAATAACTGAAACCTCAAATTCCGCCAATAAAAGAGTAACACTTGTCTAAAATGGCATTACAGAGAACGTATTTGATCTCTGTTCTTTTTTCCCCCTTCTAGTAATTAGTTTCAATGAATACTAACCATTATGTTAACGAAACAAATATAGTATTGAAACTCTGGCTTGACTTAAATGGGGCAGAATGGAGCACTACTATAATATATGAGTTTGCCAGAATTCTTTTTACATTAATCGTGAAGGCGTGCCACACTAGCGAGCCTTCTTTTGTAATATTAACACCCAAGCCTGACGGACCGTTAAATATAATTTGAGAAGAAGGCGTGCTGACTAATCGCATCTTCAGTGTTGTTTACCCTCAAAATCGGATAACAATTGAATTTATACGCAGTTTTAAGGATATATGATGTAACTTGATACAAATTAAGAAAACAGATTAATATTGAAATTAATAATAAGAAAATGAATGCGAACCATACAAATTGAACAACCTTAGCCTTTGAGTTTGATCACCCTCGAGCCAAGAAATGCCTCAACTGATATTAGAACAGAATAATAAGATGACTAGAAATAAACAGTGTATTGCTTTTTGGCGTGTATTACAATGTGTTTTATGAATGATCAAACCTCACTTTATATAGTAGGGGTGTCATACTCTTGATACAATTCTATACAAGGTAAAAAATCTCATGATTTGCTAAGTAATCGGCCTTTCCTTGATACGTGCCGAGATTTTCGTCATGATCTCCAACCAATCGCGGATATTCCGGCCTTCCGTTATTTGGCTCGGCAAGTTTTCCTCGATCTTGTTCGGTCTCAAACTTGTTTAGTCCTGGGGTCACGAGCTCGGCGATCTAATTTCGCGCCTTGGTTTGATATAACCCGAGCTCGAGCTTTGACCTGTCGTGTTTCAGCCTCGATTGGTCACTCAATAGGTGAATCCGATTTTGATCGTATACAAATAGTCCCTTCGTTTTTCGGAGAGAAGATGACGAGAAATGATATGAACTTCCGAGCCTTGCTTCGATAAACCATGACGCAAGCGACAAAAAGTAACTGAAACATCCCATCGGTCCAGTCTCCAAGGCATTAAATGTATGTAAGTTGTTGGTCAGCCATTACGGGTTTTGAACCGTCGTTTGCAAACTATAAATACTTAACCCTTCCATTATTTAGAACCTTTACATTCAAAAGTTTGTTCTTGTGTTTTTAAGAAAAATTTTATCACCTTCTTCCTCTTATTTTCTGGTTCAAGTTTTGAAACCTTTTCCTTTGCAGTTTTCTGAAAATTTCTATAAAGGTATGAAGTGACGCTCTACATCCAGTTATCATAGCCTTTTGTAAAAGGTATGAAGTGACGCTCGGGCTGATCCATCCTTCATTTTGGAGGATTGTTATTCTGATTCGTTTCTTTGTGAGCAAGCTCAACAAGTGCCCCTTCGCCATCGACCATCTTATGCGTCTGTACAGTCCCCGGCTCTACTGAGGGGGATTGATAAAGCTTGCCCGTCGGGCTATTAAGGCCCCATTTTTGAGCATATATGAAGACCAAGACCGAGGATGATTGGGTCGGTTCATTCGAGTGAAAACCTCGGATCTAATCCTGGCTGAGGAAACGCCATTCCCCGATAAATGGAATGTGAAACGTAAGTATTGACTTTACTTTTAAGATTTTACTCATTACCTTTCCCTTTCCTTTTACCTAATCGATATCTCGCGGTACAACTGTCGCTCGGATACCGGATGCAGTTCCTCGACTCAAGGAGCGGGTCGAGGGCATCGTATCACTGAAGCCCTACTCCGAGCGCGCATGCCATGAACTTTCAAAGGTCCGGTGGGAGGCCCGTTCTCACAGTAAAATTCATGGAGAATACCGTGGAACTTTCACTTGATGGTAGTCAGGTCTCAAATCAGGCTTGGAGAATACCGTGGAAACCTGAAGCTGCTCATATAAATCATCAATCTGAGATAATGAGTACTTATTCTTGTAGACATGTGATTTTTGACCCTCCCCAAAAATTTTCATATTTTAGCACGTAAATATTTAATTTAGGCCTAATATAGCTATTTCAACTATTTTTGACTTCTTTCCTTTATTTTCGTCATAAAAATGGAAAATTACAAAAAAATATGTTAGCTTACGTATCTTTCATAAATTTAAATAAAAAATATACAAAAAATAGTACCTTATTTTTATCCTTACATAATCTTGAAAATACAAAAAATATATAATAGTTTCATGTCAGCTTTTGCATTATGTAATATTTTTATCTTATTTTAAAAGGAGTCGATTAAGGTGTTGGATCATAATTTTAAGAGTTTTAGAACCTAGTTCTTGGCCCAATTCGGATTAGACCATTAAGCCTATGGACCCTTCTAGACTCTTCTTTGGAATAAAAATAAACAAAAAATACCCTAGGGACCTAATACACAAAAACCTAGGGACTAGTTGGCAAAATATACAAAATATAGACCTAGACCTAGGGAATATAGAGGAGGGGCGAGAAAATNGGGGAGGGAACCTAAGGAAAAAAGATCCGAAAGATATCCTAAAGCTAGAGCGCCGCTTTTAGAGAACCCCACCCCCTCGATCGAGTATCTTCTTCTTCTTATGCCATTTTCAATGGTTTCGTCTGAAGCAAAGAGCAACAACTCCATGAGCTACTGTTCTTGAACAAAATTGAGACCCTAAGCATCAACTTCCTTTTATCCAAAAAGAAAAAATAAAAGACCTGAGCAGCTAGAAACGGGAGGGATCGAAAATTTTCAGCAGTTTCTTCATCTCGTAACTCCGACGACCCTCCATTGAGACCGGCGAAAGCCGAGTTCGAACCCAACAGTAAACTCACCTACAAAACCATCTGAAACAACAGCTCAAAGCAGCACGAAACACACACAAAATTAGCCAAGGTTTTGAGTCGAGCCCGTCGAGGTCGCCCGTTTGGTGTTCCAGTCAAAGGTTTTGTTTTCAATTTCCAGTAACCTATATTGCCGAGGTATTTACCTGGAGTTTCTTTTCCGTTTGTTCAATCAACTACTGAAGAAAATCATTGCTTATTGAGGTGCACTTTTATTTGATATTTTTCTTAGCATGCTTTGCTTGTATGTATGAGTGTGTTCATGTCATGATTCATTCATTGTGTTTATATGTTGGGTCATATTGATTTACTGCCTTCCTAGTGGTGTATTAAAATTCAGAATTTTATTTTGTTTGCTTGTTTCTTTTGTTTTGATGAAGTAGTTTGTAAAACACTTGTTGAATTTTTATGATTAATTTGGAAGATGAAAGATCTGTAGACGAATTCTAATATCGGCCGTACAAATTGCATGATTTTGTTAGCTATAAGGGGCTGTAGGCTTGGTTTGGATCCTTAGAAGAATTGATGTTCAAGTTTAAGTAAAAGGGTTGCATAATAATCCCACAGTTTAGTTCAGCGCTAGTTGCTTTAGGCACGTTACAATAAAATTATCATAGCTACGGGTACGGTTCCCGTGACGTAGTTGTGATACATAATCCCAAATTCGGGGGTACATTTCATGTAACCCGATTATAACAACTTCGAATAATGAGACCCTGTGAAATAATTTGAGGCGTGTTGTGCCAAATAAAATCTTAAAATGTATGACTCTCACTTAATTAGTATTTTAAAGTCCTTAGAATTTGAGGCGTGCCATGTAGCTAATTTTTATGGCCCCCGCAAAGTTGCT